CGCACATGCTGCTCAGGTTCTTCACCCCGAGAGCTCGCTCTGCCTTGGTGTGCACAGACAGGGGTTTCCAGAGTGTGCAAAGTTGGGGGTCCCGGGGCCCCCCTCAGGCACCTGCTGACAGAACACTGAATAGCTCCCGAGTCAGAGCTCTGCACTAAGGGATATCCCGAGAACGGCTTTACCAGCCACCTCTCCGCCCCCTTTGCGCTCCGGGGCTGACGCCTCATAGTTCACCCCGGGCACCTGCGCCTGCCCCCTCCAGCCTGTGTGAAGCCCCCCGTCCCCTCCTCCCCCCCTGAGTTTTGTCCTCACTGTTGTGGGGACGGCGCTGAAGACTGGCTCTGGCAGAGGGCGAACGTGAGGAACCGAGGGGGGCGAGACGCGGCCTCCCTGGGGCCCCGGGGTGGACCCCGCTGACCGGCGCAGCTCTGCCCCAGGACTCAGCGCGGGGAGTGCACGGGGCTGGCCTCCTGTCCACCCGCCTGCCTGGAGTCCTCAGCACAGCCCCGGGCACCGAAGGCCTGGGCGTCCACGGAGGGCCTGGGGCTTGACTCAGCCCGCGTCCCCCTGTCCTGAGCTTGATGCACTGACGGTGCCCAGCGCGGGACAGCCCGGGGGCCCTCGCCGCCCAGCGCCCCCGGCTGGAAAATGGCCGCGCTGGCCCCTGCGCCGTCTTGCTGGAAAAGTACTGAATTATCCCAAACTGTAAAAATCCGCTGGCCGGCACCCCGGGGGGGCTCTGGAACTGACTCAACCCGTCCGGTGTGGGGGCCCGGGGCTGGCGGCCCGGCCTGGCACCGGCTCCTGGGCCCGGCCGCCCGCTCCTCCTGGAACAGGCCTCGGCCAGCGCCCGGGCCAGCTGCCGCCCTCGCCCGCGGCCGGTAAACAGCCCCGCGCCGGCCGCGCTCAGGCCGCGGCGCCTCGGCTGCCTGGCCCCGTCCCAGGCCTGGCGGACACCCCTGTCTGCGCGCCTCGGCCCCGCCGGTCACCTGGAGAAAAAGCCTCAGAGAAGATGAAAGAGCCTTTAATCCCGGGTTTTCTGAGTTTTGTTTTTAGCAGGAAAACCTTGTTTTCAAAACAAATTATCGCACAGAATGGGCCCGTTTGTGGAGCAGACAGACGGGCATTTACGCCGCGAGTCCAGCCCAGCGGAGGCCACAGACGGCCGCCAGGGACTGGGGGGGGGGGTTGCCCGAATGTGGGGGCAGCTCCCTGCGCCGGGAGCCCTGGGGCCGGCATGGGCGCCGGGGATGCGCGGTCAGGACGTTGGGGGCAGAGGGGGCTCCCCCGAGGTTGGCGCCCCTCCCCGCGCCGAGGGGCCGGTGCCGGCGCAGCCCGCGCGTCCAGGGCGCGGGGCCTCGGCCTCAGACCAGCCCCGGCCCCTCTGTCCTCACTGAGGGGCACCCGCGGGGCGGGGGTCGGGAGCCCCCCGAGGTGCACGTGAGGCGCCCCCCAGCTCGCGCCCGCCGTCGCGTGCCCACCTGCCGCCCGGGCACCAGCGGCCCGAGGCGTCACCCCGTCCCCCGCCCCGCCCCGCCGGCTGGCGCCCCGGGCTCCACCCACGGGCAGCGGCCTCTGGCCGGGCCTGCGCTCCCAGAGCCGGGACTGGGCTTCCACCCAGCTCGGCGCTCCTGGGGCGCTCCTGGGGGGGACGGGGGCGTGTGGGGGCCACGTCGGGGTCCAGGGCGCGTGCAGGGAGGGGCCATGTCGGGGTCGGGGCGAGTTGGGGGGGCACGTCGGGGTCCGGGGCGTGCGGTGGGGGGCGGCCACGTCGGTATCCCGGGGCGAGCATGAGGGGCGCGGCCACGTCGGGGGGCGAGGGGCGGCACGTCGGGGTCGGGGCGCGCGCGGGGCGGGGCCAGGCCGGGCTGAGCGGCGCCATCTCGGGCTCGGCCTCGTCCCCCTGCGGCGGGGCGGGGTCCCGCTGCGGAGCTGCTGGGAGGAAGCGCGGGGCTCTCCTGGGCGGGGGAGTCCAAACCGCGCCCCTGAGAGCAGCTGGAGCCAGCGGGGTCCTGGGGGGCCCTGGGGAGCCGCCTCCGCTTCTCGGGGCGGTATTGCCAGCGCCGGGGGTGAAATCGCGCTCAGGCGCCCGCACAGCTGCTGCATTTTCACAAAGGGGGGTGCGGTCCTGGCAGACGCGGGGGGGGTGGGGGGGCCTCGCTTTCCCCCGCTGACCGAGCCGCGAGCGCCCACCATCCTCCTGCGGCACCAGGTCGCCTTCTCGGGGCGCGTCCGGCTGCCCAGACCCCTCGGCTCAGCCCGGGCGCCGCTGCCGCTCGGCCCAGGGGCCGCCCCGAAGCCCGGGGGTCAGTGCCAGCGCCTCCTCCCTGGAGGGACGGGGTGCAGATGGCCGAGTCGCAGGAGCCAGAACTGAGCCCGGTCCAGCTCCGGGCCGCCGTGGGTGGGGTCCACGTCCTCACCCCCCAGAGTGCGAGGATCTTCCTGTCACGGGGGGGGGGGGGGGGGGGGGGGGGGGGGGGGGGGGATCAGTAAATAAGGTCACCGCAGGTGTTCACGCCTGTCCCGCACCGTCTTCTGCAGGGCACTTCCAGCAATGACCACAGCAGCTGCGTGCACAGGGCTTTCTCTACAGGCCAGTGCAGTTGGAACGTTCTGGAACCCTCCAGGCACCAGCTCTCTGGAGGCACTGGCTGAGCAGAGACACAGCCAGGCACCGGGTCTGGGCGCGGGTGGGAGGGCCGCCCTGCGGGCTGCGCACTGGACGCCAGGCCCTGCGCCCTGTCCGGCCTCCCCCTCTGCCCTGCCCGTGCAGGCCTCTAATTACTGGGGACACGGGAACTGCAGTGGCTTCTGTTTGGACCCAGAGGGAGGGAGCTGCCCCCAACAGCTGCTCCGTGGAGGGGCGGTGACCGCAGAGGGCAGGCTGGGTGTGGCCTGCTCAGAAGGGGGCAGTGAAGCACATCCTGCTGACAGCCGGGCTGGTGCTCCCAAGCAAGACAAAGCTCCGGACTCTGGCACAGGGCCCTGGGTGGGACGGGGTGCCAGGCCGGTGCTCGTGGAGGGCGCTGGCTCCGGGCCTGCCACGGGTGCCTTCCGTGAGTGGCACCCCCTCGCACCAGGAAGGGGCCCTGACGCTCCAGCTCCCCCTCCAGAGGAGGACACAGGGGCCTGGGCAGCTCGGGGGCGCCCAGGTCAGCACCGCTGGCCTGCAGGGCTGATGTCTGGCTGCCTGGGGTCTGAGGTGAGCAGACAGTGGGGTTGGCGCCCCTACTTCCAGAGGCTCTGTGCTTATTTCAAGGTACTGACCCATCCTGTGACACACAGGCTGCCCCCCTCTTGGGGGTGGCTCATACCAAGTGGCCACAGCCCCTCTGAGCTGGGGACGCCAATAGCAGCGCTGACGGACACTCCCAAGAAATGACAGACTTGGGCTTTTTAAAGACCAGCAGAGATTTCTGGAGTAGCCCCGAGGCCGCTCCCTGCCCGCGCCCAGGGCCATGCGGTTCGGACAGGAGGCCCTGGAAGGCGGCCCGGGCACTCCCACGACAGCCACGAGGTTCTGGGGCCACCCCTGTGTCACAGATGGGGCACTGAGTGCCCAAGGCCCATAGTTATCAGGTGAGGGGGGCTGTGCCAGGTGTCACCCCGAGCTGGCTGCACTGACTGGCCTGGGTTTTGGGGTGTCAGTTGAAGGGCCTGGCCCCCCCAGACCCTCGCTGGGCACTGTGGGGTCCTTGGGGAGCTCACCAGCCCCAGGGTCAGTTCAAAAACTAGAGACAACTCCAGTGTCTGTTGAAGATGGCCAAGCCCCGCTGCGTGTGGCCATCCCTGGAGCTCGGGGCAGGGGACCCCAAGATGCGTGAGCCTGGTGCTGCGTGGGGAGGCAGCGAGAGCGGGCACACCTGTGGCTGCAAATCTCTGGAGGCCTGGACGGCAGCCCGGTCAGCACCGGGTAGTGGTGAGGGGCGGAGGGTCCCACACAGAGGCGGCTTTTCACGCGGTAACTAAGGCCCCGTCCTGCCTGCGGGGCGTCATGGGCCTCTGCGTGTGCGTGTGCAAACACTCGTGCTAAAAGTGTGTGCGGCTCCTGAATGAGATCAACCCAAACTAAACGTCAGCAGGCTGCGTGGGGGGCCCCTCACCTCGGGCAGGAGCACTGGGGGCCCGGCGGCTTCCCTGGGGGTGTCCTGCTGGTGCGGGACAGTTGAGGCACTGGTCACCGTGGGGGCTTCACGTGGAGACGCCCGGGCGTGGCTGTGAGCGCACAGCAGGGATGGCGGGGGTGGGTGCCGGGGCCTGCACTCGATCACACCCCACACGTCACCACGACTGGCACCAAAGGTCCCTTTGGTGCCTGTGCCGTGTGCCTGGCCTGCCCGGGCAGCAGACTCGTGGACGGAGCTGGGCCCGGCTCTGGGCCCCGGGAGCTGCAGGAGGCCAGAGGAGGGAATCGCCAGGCTGTGGAGGGGGCTGGCGAGACCAGGGCACCGGAGGGGGTTTGCGCCGTGGGCAGCGGCGGGGTGGGGACCGCGCCACAGGCCCTGGGGACAGGGGCGGCGGTGGGGCTGTGCTGCCCCCCACCCCTTGGCCTGGAGCTCCGGCCCGGAGGGGCGGGGCCCGCAGGAAGGCCAGTGGTCCCGGGAGGCCGCGGAGCCCCGCAGGCCCCACCCCGGCTGCAGCAGCCCTCGGGGCTCACCAGAGAGGCCCCGCGCCGGAGAGGGGGGGCCGCTGGGCGGGCCCCACGGCAGGAAGGAGGTCCCGGCGCTGGGCCCGCGGGCCGCAGGGGGCACGGCCGGCCGCCCAGCCTCGGCCGCGGGGCGGCGGTGCTTCTGGCCACCTCTGCCCTCAGCGCCCCCACCCCGCCCACGGACCCCGGAGCCGGCTCGCTGTCCGGGCGGCGGCGCGGGGGGCCGGGGCTCCCCGGCCGGGAGCGCGGAGCCCGCCCGCACAGGGCGGCGCAGGACGCAGGGGTGGCCAGCAGGGTGACATCGCAGCCGGGCTTTATTGTTGCGGGGGGGGGGGGGGTGGGGGTGGGGGGCCGGAACTCCCCCGCGGGGCGCCGTCGGCCTGCGCGCAGCGGCTCCGGGCCTGGAAGAGAAGGCGGGGTGAGCGCGGGCGCCCCCTGCCGGCGGAGGCGGCTCCGGCGGGCGGGCGCCGGGTCAGCGCGGGCCGGGCCGGGCCGGCCTGGGGGGCGGCGGCTGCGCGCGGCCTGACCCGCCAGAGCCCGCAGTGCGCGCAGGAGGGGGGCACTGCTCCACCCGGGGTGCGGAGGGCCCGCGGGGCGGCCGCGGAGCTGTGCACCCTCCGACCCACCCGACTGTGAAAGCCCCGCAGGCAGGGCCCCCCCAAACCGCCCCCACCCCGGGGCGCAGCGGTTGAGCGCTGGGTTGCGAAGCTGCCCGCGGCCTCTGCGGCGCCGGTTCGATCCCCGGCTGCTCCCCGGCCACCGGCAGAGGGTCCCACATGGCGCGCAGACCTCTCCTGCCGCCGCTGCTCCCCCCAGCAGTGTCCTTCGGTCCTTCTGCCTGCGCTGCTCCCCGCTCTGGCTCTGGTGGATTCTCTCACCCTCCCGCGCTTCTGACTGTACCCAGTGCTTGTATAAATAGATAAATAAATCTTTAAAAAAAAAACAAAACCCACAGGCAGCGGCAGGAATCAGGACCCAGGCACCAGGTTACGCAGAACTCACGGGCCGGGCCAGGGGTCCCCAGGAGGGCGCTCGGGGAGCGTGTCCCCTTCCCCGGCAGACACTGTGGTCACACGCTCCTATGAGGGCCCCTCACGAAGCGGGCGCGAGTGGCTGGGGCCCCGGGTGCTGGCGCCCACAAGCAAGGTCTGCAGTGTCCCTTGGCTCACTGCCCGTCACCACCGGGGTGGCCTCAAGGGGAGGCAGGGGGCCTGGCCGCACGGCCCAGAGGGGCCAAGCCTCAGACACCAGAGCATCGATCCTGGGAAGGAGCCGGGCCGGGAGGAACCGAGGCCTTGGCATCATGGCGCCCTGTGATGTCACACATGGGACATGGCTGCACCTGGGGTCAGCTGCCCGGCTGAGCGGTCATGGCCCAGCCGCCGCCCTGTGTGGGGCCGGTTGCCCCCCACCCCAACCACATCGGCCGTCGGCATCACTCTCCACGTGGGCAGGGACGGGGGACGGGCTGGATGCAGGGGGAGGAGGGGCGTGGACAGCCGGCTGGGTTGGGCTGGTGCAAGCCAGATAGGTTGGCTGATGCCCCTGCCAGGCCCGCCACACTGGGGGTCGCCAGCGCTGAGGCTTCTGCCCTGTTGGGGCAGAGACCGTGCCAGGAAGCAGCCAGTTGCCCCGCGTCATCACAGGAGCAGGAGGCCCCGGCCAGCAGCACACTGCCCAGCTCCCGAGGGGGCCTGCCGGCCAGGAAGGAGCCCCGAGCCACAGGGGCCCGGTGCGACAGTGCCCAGCACAGCAGCGAGGACCGGGGCCTGTGGTTCCCTTGGGGGCGGAAGGTCCCGGGGGGAGCGCAGCCTCACCCACCTGCCCGCTTTGGTCCATCCTGCCCAGGCCCGCACTACTTGGGCCCGATGTAGGCCACCTCCTTCCCGGTCTTGCCCAGGGTCTGCAGCAGCGTGTCGACGCTGTGCTCGGAGTCGATGCTCACCTTCTTGTTAGCCAGGTCGATGTCAAACTGCACCCCTGGGAGAAGAGAAAGGGGCAGGTGGGGAGCAGACCCCCGGCCCCAGCAACAGGGTGCCTGGCCCCACGCCCCAGTGCACACCCTTGGGGCCCCTTCCTGCAGCCGCTGGCCCGTCCTCTGCGCCAGGCAGGCTGTGGCTCCAGGCCGCTGGCGTCCGCAGATCCCGGCTCTAGACCGGGGCCCCTTTCCGTGTTTCTGGTCGCCAAAGGAATGTGTATTTTCCAAAAGCAAACATTTCTGGGTACGGAGCATGTCAGCCCCAGCTCCTGTGCGCTCCGGACCCAGGCTTCCCTCTGTCTCCCCACAGGTGTGCAGCACCGCAACAGCGGCTCTGGCTGCGTTCCCTTTCTGCACACACAGCCCGGCCCCTCCTGGACCTGAGGCGTGTGCGGGCCCAGCCGCTGCACCTGGGCGCCTCCAGCTTAACAAGTACCCTTGACCTTGTGAGGCTGAGAGGGGCTTCTGACCACCGACCGACTCACAAGGGGCACATGCTAGATGTCGACACAGACTGCGCATGGGCCTCGTGTCCTCGGCCTCCGCCTCCCCACCTGTCCCTGGCAGGGCTAGGGCTGGCAGCCTGTGCCATCTCTCTAGTTCAAGGATGTCCCGCGACCTGAGAAGCCCGCCGAGCCTTCTCCAGAGGCCAGGCCCGTGGGGAGACCCCAGCCCAAGCTCCATGCAGGCCCCAGGCACCAGTGAAGGGCCTGAGCAAGCACTTGCTCTGGCCTCAGGGTTTGCGCCTCGTGGACTCCGTCTTTGGTTCAGGAGTGGGTCAAGCCCTGGGGGCTCACGGAACTGGCAGGGACTCGGGTCGCTGACTGCTCCCTGGATGATTGCACTCAGAAGGCCCTCGGACAGGTGCTCTCCGATCAGCTGGGGTTGAGTAAGAACTGGTCGGACTGGCAGCCCAGCCCAGCAGGACCGTCTCAGCTGGGTGGCCTGGGCCTGGCCTGCCCCGGCTGAGAGCTGAGGGGCTGGATGGCAACCGTGGCTTCAGGCCGTGTAAGAGGAGAGGCTCAGGCGGTCCGCGGGCCACTGCCTGCATGTGTTGTTTTAAACGTCACGGTTCTCCAAATCCCAATAGTAAATGACACTCACGTTGTCAAGTAAAGGTCATTGCCCAGAGGGGACCGTGTTAACTAGCGCTGTGGCTGCATCCTGGCCCTGCCATAGCCACAGTGTGATCTAGCTGCGTCTCTCCACGTCTCTGAACCGCAGCCCTCCTGCTCCACGGGGAGACAGAGGAGGGTGGGAGGCCTGACGGGGCCCGCAGGGCCAGAGCAGAGCGCCTGGTTTTGCTGCACCCCGGCCTCGGGACAGGGGACGCGTGTGTCCACTCTCCCGCCCCAGCCCTGGGCGCCGCGCTCGCTCACCTCCCAGCTTGTTGAGGACCCGAGTGACCGCATTGGAGCAGCCTTCGCAGGTCATGTCCACAGAGAACTCGTGCTTCTGAAATAAACAGAGGGACCATGAGCCACCTCCCTGCCGGGACCCCAGCCGGCCAGCCCGCAGCCGAGACGGAGGCTGGCGCCAGGGCAGGCGGCTCAACTGGGGCTCAGTCCCGCTCTCCTGAGCTGTGCGGCAGGGAGAAGAGGCCAAGTGTACTCAGGCAGCTGTAGTCACCGAGATGGCCCCATAAACCCGGGTGCTGGGCCCCCAGTATGAGGTGTCCCCCAGGAGCTAGCTGAAAATATCGGTTTCTAGTCTCACCTTCAAACCCCAATGCCTGCACAGTGGGGCAGCCTCGGGACCACAGGGGTCCACCCTCGAAGCAGTCTGGTCTGGTCACTCCTGCGCTAGCGTCCCCTGGAGCTTGCGGAAGCCGCAGTCCATCAGCATGCCTGGCTGGGCATAGGGTAGTGGCTGGCAGCTCCTGCTACAAGCCCCGCCCCAGCCAGGTCCGCACTCACGAGCTGCACCCCCGTCCTGCTAAGGCCAAGGGTGTGCTGGCAGCCCACAGGAGCCCCCGGCTCCCAGGCGCTCCACCTGGGGTGTCCACCCACCACGGTGGGCTCCCGAGGCTGGGATCTGCTCACTTCCCACATGTCCTGGTGCCCGGGACAGTGCCTGGCACAGATGAAGTGCCTCCTGCACTGTGCCGAGCGTGTCAGTGACTGAGACTGGCCGAGGAGGGCCTCTGGGGCCTGCCTCCTGCTTTCAGACAAAAGTCACTCATATCAATACTTTATTTCAGAATCTGACCAAAGGACCCGGCTCTAGAACCCGGCTCCGGCGCTGCTAGCTAGCTGTGTGATGGCAAACAGGTTCCTCGACTCTCCTGTGCCCCTGTTCTGTCTGCAAGGGGGGGCCGAGTGAGGCTCTCCAGGAGGGCAAGGGGCTAGACGCGTCCCTGGGGCTGTCCTACACTGCCCAGGGGCTCCGTCCGGGAGAGGCGGAAGGTGTTCTGTGACTGCTGGGTGAGCTCCTCCAAGCCAGGGGCCGCTCTCCGTGCTCCCCACTGGGGCGCTCACTCTGGGGAAGCTGGCTGCTTCCGGCCCCGCAGACCCTCCCACCCGATGGCCCCCCAGCCCAGCTGCTCCCCGATTCCTGACTCTCAGGCCCTATCTACAGCGGAAAGGGTGCCAGCTAGTGCTGTTCTCGGGGCTCCACTGGGGATTGCCAGGGAGCCCAGGGACTGGCAGCCCCGCAGGCACCTGCCTCGGCTAGCTCTGGGGCTCTGGGGTCTCACTTTAACCCACAGGGAAGGCTGGCCACGCCTGAGCAACAGCGATCTGCATGGCTTCTCTTTCCGAGTCTCAAAAATGCCTCTGGTGGGCAGGGGGCCGAGGCCCGCAGAGCACCTGGGTCCCACTGGCAGCTGTGGGCGGGGCTGCTCTGGCAGGATGCCTAGGTGGCTGCTGTTTCTCCCCTCCCAGGCAAATACCTCTGGGCATCCAGCATCTCGTGACTATTCCCCACCCACACCTCTGGGCATAAACACATGTAGTGGTTATTCCAAAATCCAGGCTCGGATGTGGGGTCCTTGGACAGGTGCCGGCAGCTCCTGGAGGCTGGCCCGAAATGCGGCTGCGGAGCCCCCGCCCATCCCGGAGCCAGCGCCTCGTTGGACGGACACCCAGGCTCTTCCTGCCCATGTGGGTTTGAGCTGCTGCTCTGCAGCAGACACGGGACACCCGTGCTCGCTCTGCGGACCCCGCCAGGAGCCTGCCTGCAGGCGGAAGCTGATGTCCCCAGGGTGACGGGCGGCCCACAGCCACATGGCGAGTGTTGCTGAAGGTGGGAAGCACACCCAGGCTTTCCTGAATTGGGGACATCTTGCCCGCACCCCCAGTGCCTGGAGGGGACAGGGGCTCTGAGGGGGACACCCTGGGAAGGAGCACATGTTTCTGCTGCCCACGCAGCTGAGGTCAACAGCTCTCCACAGCTTCCAGCGGTCTCCTTTCAACCCCGAGGTACAAAGGACAGGCAGGGACCGCTTCCGGCGGCCAAGGTTACAGTCCAGTGCGCTTCTCCACCTCTGAGTTGCAAAAGCAACTTCTAAGCCACTACCTTTGGAGTAGTGACTCAGGAGCAAGAGACGACTACCTAACACGGTAGGCCCAGGGTCCGGGGTGGGTCAGAGAGCCCCCGAAATGCAGCCCGGCCGACCCCTCAGGGTCCCTGTTGTCCTAAAACGTCTCCCTCAAAGTTGACAAACAGATCTGCTGAGTTGTGCAATTCCTGCTGGGGTTCTCAGGCCGGGAGCTGCCATTTCTTGGGGACCAGGTATGTCTGTGGTGGTTGCAACATATCTTACCTGGAGTTTCCCTGTCCATGCTGACAACAGTCCTGCGAGGCCATGTGGCAGATGAGGAAATCAAGGCACAGAGAGGTCAAGCTACCTGCCTGAAGGGGCCCCGCTGGCCAGCGAGTACAGGTTTTTGAGGTTCTGAGGCCCCAAGTGTTCGCGGTGACCCTCATGGGGCACATGTCCGTCCCCCAGTTTTGACAGCAGCCTGGACTCGTGCCCCTTGGCTCAGCTGCCCACCTCATGACACTGCCGGGCCCCCTCTTCCTCCCCATGACCTGCTCTGGAGGGGCTTTTTTGGTCAAAATCCTCAGAAGTGAGCGCAGAGCAGAGGCCCCCACGCCGCCTCCCTGCTCGGCCAGCGCTGCAGGGGCCACCCCTCAGGGACGCGGCCTCCCTCCCCAAGCGCAGGCGACCCGCCTCCCGGCACTGCCCCAGCGCGGGGCGGGTCTCTGTGCAGCCCCAGGATTTGCCCCACGGCGCCTGGCCAGGCGCCAGGGCAAGGACACCTGAGATGCCTGCGGCTCACCCAGGGGGCCTCCGGCTCCCTGCGGCGCCCCAAAGCTGGGCTGCGGCACAGGCGCCGAGCAGGGCCGCGCCCGGGGCGGGGTGGACGCCTGGCCGGCAGCTCCCTCACCGCCTCCGGGAGGCCGCGGCGCCGGATCGCGCCCGCGCCCGCCGCCCCCGGCCAGCGGCTGGGCCTGACCACAAGGGGCCCCGCCCGCCCAGGCCAGGCGCTGCGGCTGGGGCTCCGGGGGTCTCCCTCCCGCCGCTGCGGCCGCCGCCGGCCCCTGCATCGCGCGCCCGCCGGCCCGCCCGGCCCCGGCCCGCGGCTCCCGGCTCCCAGCCGGCGCCCAGGCGAGCCCGGCCCGGCCTTCCGCGCCGGCCAGCGGGGGCGGCCCGGGCGCCGCGCGGCCACTTACCGGCATGACGGCGGCGGCGGCTCTGCGCGGGCGCGGCGCTTCCGGGGGTGCGCGCGCAGGTCTGGCCGGCCGGCCCCGCCCCGCCGGCGGCGATTGGGCCCCGGGCCCTCCGGGCTGCCGGGTCCCGCCCCCGCCCCGCCCCGCCGCCGGCGATTGGGCTCCGGCCCTCCGGGCTGCCGGGCCCCGCCCCCGCCCCGCCCCGCCCCCGCCCCGCCGCCGGCGATTGGGCCTCGGCCCCTCCGGGCTGTCGGGCCCCGCCCCGGCCCCGCCCCTCCAGGCTTGGGGCCCCGCCCCTCCTGGCCCCGCCCCGCCCGCCCCGCCCCTCCGCGGCCTCGGTCCCCTTGCGCCTGGGGCGCGTCTCGCGGGGCGCGGGGCGGCCTGGCCCCTGCAAGGCCGTGGCTCTATCTCAGACCCTCCTCAGGGACTGGGGTGCAAGGGCCCCTCGCTCCCCCGGGCACGGGCTGGGTCTCTCGGCTGAGGTTTAGCGCCCGCGGGGGCGCCGGGCCTGGGCTGCTGGGCGCCAGGATGCAGGAGCTGGACCGGGCAGAGCCTGGGGGCTGCGGGTGGGGAACCCCTAGTCAAAGTTGGGTCCCCACCACCAGCCCTGGGCCCAGGTGCTCCCCCCAAAGTCACCTCAGTCACATAACAAGAGGCCCCCGTCACCCCTAGCACCCCGAAATCCCCTGGCTTTCCAGCTAGGAGCTGTGGTGTGAGCAAAGCGCTCACCCCACTGCTGCACTAGCAAGATTCATCCCGGGAGGGGCGTGGCCGGCGCGCAGGGGGGCACAGCAAGCGGCAGAGCAGTGCAGCGAGTGTCTCTTGCATAATGGGGGTGGCGGGAGACCCACTTCTCCTGGACGCGGGGGGCTGCCTGGCTCCCGGAGCCCTTGCTGTGGGCCCGAGCTGGCCACGCCACTCAGAGCTTGGGCTGCTTTTCTCCAAGCAGACGGGGGTGTGTCTGCACGTATGTGGGTCCAAAACCCGAGCCTTTCCTCTTCTCCCGGCTCCGTCTTCCCTCGTTCTCAGGGTTCCCCAGGATGCTGCCCTCACTGAATCACCCTTGTTGCTCCACAGCCCCTCCCCAATCCGCTGAGCTATCCACCCCACCTGTGGGGAGGGGAGACCTCAGCACATAACCAGGCTCCAGCTGCCTCTCTCCCTTGGAGGTGATCATCGCTTCTGCTCACGTCTGGGCCAGAGCAGGGCGCCTGCTCTCGTCTTCTAGGGGGCAGAGAAGCAGGTACCCCAAGGGGGAGAAACAGCAATGTCAGAAAACGATGCTCACGCTCCAGGGACTCTTTCGACAAGGCTGGGCCTCTGGGCCTCCTGTCCCCAGAGTTCCCAGTGGCCCTTGGCACCGCTGCCCGCCAGACCCAGCCACTGCAGGCTTCAGAGAGTAAGACCTGTCAGACGGAATGATCCCCGCCAACCGTGTGCCGCGCTGGCCGTCCTGGACAATCCACCTCTCGGGACCTCAGCTTTTTCCTTGTGAGATCAAGCTGTTTATTGGAGGGGTGCGTGAGCCCTGAGAGAACTGGGACTTGACTTGGTCCCATGCAAAGGAGGGGCCGCAGCAGCCACCCTGAACTTCTGACAGGTCAGGCTGTGAGTCACTTACCTATGGACAGTTTAGGAATGGAAAGGATTGCCAGACATGGCCGGCAAAGCGGAAGCCTCCTTCAAGCCATGTCACCGCCCTCCCCGCAATGGTGACTGCCATCAGGAGGTGGCAGGTCTTTTCTAGACTTTCCCAGGCACCAGCGAGCATCTATATATTGTTGCTGGCATTTTTAAAACCAGCTTTTTTTTTTTTTTAAATCTTTATTTATTTATTTTAAAGATTTATTTATTTATTTATACAAGCACTGGGTACAGTCAGAAGCGCGGGAGGGTGAGAGGATTCACCAGAGCCAGAGCGGGGAGCAGAGCAGGCAGAAGGACCGAAGTACACTGCTGAGGGGAGCAGCGGGCGGCAGGAGAGGTCTGCGCGCCATGCAAGACCCTCCTCCAGTGGCCGGGCATTGAACTGGCACTGCAGAGGCTGCGGGCAGGTTCGCAACCCAGCGCTCAACCGCTGCGCCACCAGGGAGGCCCGCTTCTGGCATTTTTAAAAAAGATTTATTTATTCATGCATGCAAGAACCAGGGTACAGGCCAGAGGCATGGGAGGGTGAGAGGATTCACCAGAGATAGAGCGGGGAACAGAACAGGCAGACGGACTGAAATACACTGCTGAGGGGAGCAGCGGGGAGACAGGAGAGGTCGGCCGCGCCATGTGGGTATCTTTTCGGCAGGCCGGATGGAACCCGCGCTGCAGAGGCTGTGGACAGCTGTACAGCGCTACGCTCAACCACCTGCGCCACCAGGGATGCCTGCTGCTGGCATTTTTTTTTAAAAAAATTTATTTATTTAGGGCCTCCCCGGTGGCAGTGGTGCAGCGGGTTGAGCCAGTGCTGTGAAGCTGTCCGCAGCCTCTGCAGCACAGGTTCTATCCGGCCGGCCTGGGAGCTCTCTACATGGAGCAGCAGACCTATCTCCCCGCTGCTCCCCTCAGCAGTATATTTCAGTCCATCTGCCTGTTCTGTTCCCCGCTCTGTCTCTGGTGAATCCTCTCACCCTCCTGTGCCTCTGGCCTGTACCCCAGTTCTTATATAAAAATAAATAAATCTTGGGCCTCCCTGGTGGCGCAAGGGGTTAAGACGCAACCCATGAAGCTATCTGCAGCCGCTGCAGCACAAGTTTGATCCCCAGTCAGGGAGATGACCCAGAGGGCACAGCAGACCTCTCCTGACTTGCCCGCTGCTCCCCTCAGCAGTGTATTTCAGTAGATCTGCCTGTTCTGCTCCCCACTGTTTCTGGTGAATCCTCTTATCCCCCACACCTCTGATCTGTACCCCAGTTCTTAATATGTATAAATAAATAAATCTTTTAAAAAATAAATGTTACAAAAAAAGATTTATTTATGCATAGAAGAACTGAGGTACAGGCCAGAGGTGCGGGGGGTGAGACGATTCACCAGAGACAGAGTGGGGAACAGGCAGACTCACCAAAATACACTGCAGAGGGGAGCAGCGGGGAGACAGGAGAGGCCTGCTGTGCCCTGTAGGTCAGCTCCCTGGCCGGAGATGGAACTCATGCTGCAGTGGCTGGCCATACCTTGATGGTGCTGGGTCTTCAACCCCTGCAGCACCAGGGAGGCCCTGAGATAAATGTTATTATTGTTACAGGGCAACCCAGATATGAAATGGGTGGCTTAACTGTGGGTCCTCCACTGTGCACTTAAAAGGGATTTACAAGACTCAACTGCAGGCACACACAAAAAGGTTAATAAGCGGTTTATTTACAAAAGAAAGGGAAAAGAAATGAGTAACTCAGGGAGAAAGAGAGGGAGATAAATTGGTGCCTAAGAGCTGGCGAAAAGCCAAGAGACCCCAAAGCCCACAGTCTGGTTATACCAAGCCTGGCTGTTAACGCCACCCTCAGCTCCCAGCATCCCCCTTTGGTGGGGACTGAGATTGTGGGATCTGTAGTCCTTGGTGTCCTGCATCTCCTTGGTCTGGCATGGGGGTGGGGTCCATAAACCCTGTGTTTGTGGAGTTCGTTCAGGGCATCCTTTCCCGCAACATTACCACCCTATTATTCCCGCCTGGGTTTTGGGTTTGAGTGTTGATCAGGTGTGAACGGGACTTGGACGCCAGCCTGCCCTGTTCGAGTGGTGTGGCCCCAGCCTAGTCGCCAAACCTTCCTGAGCATTAGTTCCTACTTCTGGAAAATCAAGCTTGTCCATCAGTTTTATGAAAAAGGGCAGCCCTGCCAGCCTCCTCACAGCTCCTTGCCCTGTGAGCTGCCAGCCACATGAGCTGCCCTGAGGACTCCAGTTTGTCCCTCTGAGCCACAGGGAGTGAGCCCTGCTAGCTGTGCAGGCAGCCCAGCTCGCCACAGGAGTCTTGCAAAGAGCTCTGGCTGCAGATTGTCAGGCCCTGCTGGGGATTCCACGGCTCTTGAACCACTGGGCACACAGCCCCAGCGTGCACACATCACCTGGCAGCTCACCTGCAAGAGAATGTGCCACCCTCTCAGGGGGCTCCGGGAGGCTGTCCCTCCCCCCCCCCTTGGGCTTCCTGCTCCCCTGGACAATGCTGCCAGTTGTAAAAGAACACGGGCCCGATGTGAGAGTCTTGGCTTCTGGCCCTGGCTGTGCCAGTTTGGGCAGACTGCCTAACCTCTCTGGGCCTATTTCTGAGAAATGGAAAATCAGGCTGTGGTCAGTCTTGCGTGAGATGGTCTTTGTAGAGAATGTGAACGCAGGACCTGGCTTGTGGCCAGCACTCCAGGACCGCCCATGCCAGGAGGGAGGACTCCAAGAAGCAGGCGTGGCTGAGCCTCTTTGGATCTCTGTGATTTCTGGATTGTCAGGAGCAAAAGAAAAGGCGGGCCTCTGGGAGGGATTAAAACTTTTTGTTTTTTAAACAAAAGATCAACCTGGGTGTGCACAGCACAGCCTCAGGGGCAGGCTGGTGCCCTGGAAAGTCTAGGAGTGCAGCACTGGGGGGAGGGAGGTGTCCAGGTGACCCCTCTGGGCTTGCTCTTCATTCTTGGTCACTTGGAGATGGCTGTCCCATGGGGCTGCCTCGTTGTCCTGCGGCCCCACAGAATTTGAAGTGTTTCCCCAGACCCGATAGCTCTGATTTTCTTCGAGGACAGGCTGCCCTGCTGGGTTCTCGTTCCTGGGTGGCAGTAACAGCACAGACACAGTCCCATGTCTCCCTGAGGAGCGCGGAGCTGCTTGGGTGACACTGGGACAGCAGCCTGATCTTGACCCCAGCCTCCCACTCCCCTGCTGTGAATGTGCTGGGGTCTTGCTCATGCTTCTTCCCATGGGCCTGCCCCCGCCCCCAGTGCTTTGGGGAGACTGGTGGAGAAAGGCGAGGGGGTGGGAGTGTTAGGGGAAATGATGTCCTGAGCTAATCCCATACAGGCGTTGTGGACCCCACCCCCACTCCAGACTAAAGCCATCAAGACACTGGGAAAAGACAAATCCCATCCCCACCAAAGGGAGGGTGGCTGGGACCTGAGGGTGGGGTTAAGCAGCCAGGTTGGGTATAAAAACCAAACACATGGGCCTTGGGGGCCTCGCTATCGCTCGCCTCCTGGCTCGAGGCTCCTGGCTCGCGGCTCCTGGCTCATGGCCAGCTCTCAGAGCGCCATTTGGGATTCCAGATCGGCAGATCAGGTAGGACTCATTTAAAACTTTGTCTCCCACTTTTCTCCCTGAGCTGTACATTTCCTCATTTCCCCTTCCTTTGTAAACAAACCTTTTATTAACCTTTCGTGTGCGCCTGCAGTAGAGCATTGCTAAGTCCTTTTAAGCAGGCGGGTGAGGACCCACAGTCAGGCACCCCGTTTTGTATTGGGGCTGCCCTATAACAGGAGGAGGGACTGCAGGCCTGGCCAGACAGGGGAGAGGGCAGGCGGGAGGCTGGGGCTCTCCCCCAGGTGACCAGAGCAGGGGTCTCGGCAGGTGAAGCTGACTTTCCGCCCGAGAGTCCTCCGGGGAGGCTCTCCTGGGACGCCGGCCGCCACCCACCAGGCCCGGCTGCTCTTCCCGCAGCGACAGGGCCGGCCTCCTGCTCCCGGAGTAGCTGAGCCCGGGTCCTGGGGCTGAGTCCAGGAGTGGGGAGACCCCCCGGGGGGAGGGCAGGGAAGACTCGGGGGTCTAGGGCGGGCTCCTGCGGCCAGTCCCGGCCCTGGGGGAAGCCGGCCCTCCCTCCCGCCTCTCCCCTTCCCCTTCTCCCGGGCCTGCCCCCTGCCCTGCCTCCTTCCTGCCCACCTCGCACCCGGCGCAGGGCTGGGGCTCACTGTAAAGCTCCCCGGCGACGACGCCCCCCCACCCCGGCCGGGGGCCCCGGGGGAGCGGCCGTCTCGGGCTTGCCCGCGCCCCCGCGCTGGCGCCTCTCCTAGGCCGGGGCCGCCGGCCGGGCCGACCACCGTCCACCCCCGCGCGCCTGGCGCCCCAGCGCCCGCCGTGCAGCCCCGGCCGCCGGCTCCGGGCGCTCAGGGGCGTGCGGGCGGCGAGCGCGCCGGGCGGGCCCCGCGGCCCCGGCCCGGCGCTCCGCACCCGGAAGCGGCCCGCGCAATCAGAGCGCGCCCGCCACGCCCGCGGCGCACACCCGGGACGCGCAGCGGGGCGCGCAGGGCGGGGCCGCGGCTCCCTCCGGGCGGCCGGGCCGCGGCGCCCTCCGCCCGTCCATCAGCCCCTTCCCGCGCTGCCATTGGCTGGCGGCCCGGCCTCCCCGCACCCGCCCCCTAGTTGCTTGGGGTTTACTTCCCCAAAGTACACGGGCCCCACCTTGTGGAGCAACCGCTCCTGCACGGAGGTCCGACGTCCGCCCCGGAGGAGAGGTTTGAGCCAATGGGGGCGGCCACACGCGCTTGTTGGCTGCCACGGGTATCGGTCAAAGGACCTCCCGCCCCCTGTTCCCCGTCCCTTTATGTCATTGGCCGTTCTCGGTGCCAATCCGCCCCTCAGGCTGGGCGATCCGCCCGGCTTCATAGGCGCGAGCCGAAGTCAGTCACGGGCCCCGCCTCCCCGGCGGGGCGGCGGCCAATGGCGGCGCGCGGGGCGCGGAGGGCGCAGCCGGGATTGGCCGGCCGCCGCCCGGCCCGGCCGCAGCACGTTCGGCTGAGCGCGGTGATATAGGCCGGCGCCGAGCACGCGTGTGCGCCGACGCAGCTGCGCGAGGTCTCGCCTTCCGCTGCGCCGCGAGCCAGCTCGTGCCGGTCCCGCTCAGCCGCCAGGTAGGCCGGGCGGCGCGGGGCGCGGGGGGCGCGGGCGGCGCGGGCCCCAACGGCGCGGGCGCTCGCGCGGCTCCCCCGGCGCGTGGCCGAGCCTTCCCGCGTGCGCGCGCCCAACGGCCACGCGGGCCCCGCCGGCCGCCGCCCTCCCGCCCCGCCGGCCGGGCCGGGCCGGGGCCGGGGCGGGGCGGGGCCGGCGGGCCGGGCCGGGCCGGGCCGGGCCGGGGCCGGGCGGGAGGGCGGGGGCGCTCGCGCGGGCCGGGCGCACCTGCGGGGGCGGCGGGCGGGGGCCGGGCAGGTGCCGCCCTTTGTCCGCGCGGCCGCCGGGCGCTGACCCGCCGCCCGCCCCCCGCGGCCGGCACGTGGGTGCCCCGGCGCCCGCGCACCTGCTCCCCGCGCGGCGCCGGCCGGGGCGGGGCCCGAGCGCAGGGACGCGCCCGGGTCGTGGCGGGCGCCCGGCGGCCCCTGCGCGCCGCGAGTCCCCGGTCGGCGCCGCCCGGCCGCCCGCGCCCCGGGGAGCCGCGCCGCGGCGGGGTCGGCGGGCGCCCTGCGCGGCCGCCTCGGGGCGCCCCGGGGCCCGCGAGCCCCGGCCCGGGCTGCCGGCGGGGCGGCCCTTTGTTCCCGCGGGGCCCGCGGCCCCTCCGCGGTGGCCGCTGCGCCGGGGCCGGGCCGGGCCGCGCCCGAGGGCCGGGAGGCGCTCCCGGCCGGCTGAGGGCGGGAAGGGGACCCGCGAAGCCTCGCCTCGCCCCGCCGCCTCGCCCCGTCACCCGGCGGAACCGCCCGCCCGGCCCCGCTGCGTTTCCAGCCGGACCCCGCGGCGCCGGCGCGCAGCGGGCCCGTCACTGAGCCGAGCCCGGACGGCGCCCGCGAGGAGGTCGCGGCCCAGCGGGGTCGGGGGCGGCCCCCCCCCCCCCGCCTGCAGCGCAGTCCGCCCCGGGCCCTTGTCGAGGGTGGCCGCTTGCCGGCGCCCGGGCCAGCTCTCTGCCTCCCGGGCGGGGCGAGCCCGGAGCCGCGGGAGGACCTTGGGCGCCGCCGGCCCTGGAGCCTGCGAGCCGGGTTGCTGGGTGAGGCCCGGGCGCCTCCCGGCCGGTGCCCCTGCGCCCGCGGGCGGCCGGCCGGGCCTGCCCGGGGCTGTGGTCGAGGCGGCTGCTGGGGCCGCTGCGAGGCTGAGCCGGCTCCTGCGGCGGTGGCTGCTGTCTGCGGGCCGGGCGCGCCCGCGCCTCTTCAGGGCCGCTCAGTCTTGTCGGGAGCCCGCGGGGCGGCTGCAGGCTGGTGGGCGCTGGGCTGGCTGGGGGTGTCCCCTGGGGGTCTCCACCTGTGCTTGCTGTGCCGGCAGGCAGAGGCTCCGTCGCCTTAAATTAAGTATCTAAATATTTAAAAGTAAAAGTTTCTTTCCTCTTGACCAGAAAGGACGCAGATTGTTGCCTGGGTAAGGCCAGGTGACTGGATTGTAACTTTGGGGAGGGGGAGGGATGCTGAAAAAGAAAAGCTGGTGAATTGTTTTCCCATTTTTGTAAGTTTTATTCTTTCAGAAAGATTATTTTTAGGATCACGTGACATTTCCAGAAGCGTCATAACAGACACGGTGAACTCTTCCAGCTTTCTCTGACTGGAACTGGTGACGTGATCGCGGCTCTTAGACCAGAGCTAAGGCGCTGGCGTTGGGGGCGCCAGTAGTTGCGTGGCCTGCCCCACCGGGGTTCCCCGTCTTTGTGCCGGGCTCCGGGCTGAGCCAGCGCGCACCTGGGCCTGCTGTGTCCTGGTGGGCCTCCGCTCTGGGACTGTTGTCCCGGTGACCTTGAGCACCGGCGCTCACTCTCATCATGCCCGGTGTTCCGAGTAGTTTTGGATTTGGAGAAGGCACCAGAGGGGTGACTGAGCTCTGTTACTGCATCAGGGGTGCGTCGCATCCACTTGGCCTGGGTCACTTGGTCAAGGCGGTGCCTGCCAGGTTGGTGTCTTCTCTCCACGAGAGCCTGCCGCCAAGTCCAGCCCCCAGTCCCGGGGAGGGCTGACTGCACTCTGCCCTCCAGAGGGAGGAGAATCAGCCTGTGCATCTCCGTGAAAGCTGTTGGAACGTACCTGGGGGGAGACCCCTGGAAGTGATGTAAAGGCCTTGTTCTGTTTAAGGTCCCCCCCAGTGCCAGCATTCAGCGTGAGTCTTCCTGTGGCTGTTGCTGTGAGAGGAACAGTCTCTTTCCTTTGCTGCTTCTACGGCGTCTGCAGCTCCTCCGTGAGAACACTTGTCTCTTCTCCCGTTTGCGTTTCATGTTTTACTTCGTGTGCTTAGCCGTGGTCCAGCTGGACTCAGAGGGGAGAGGAAATAGGGAACCCGAAGAACGGGAGGGGGAGCATGAGGGCCGCAGGGTGTTTGGGCATATGAGGTGAGGGGCTGCCCTCCTGAGCTGCAGAAGGGGATGTGGTGGGTAGGCGGAACACGAGTCCCTTGTACTGGATGCGGCCTTGCGGGAGACCCCACGCTCGGCACCCGGCCACCGGGCTTGCTGTGAAGACAAAACTGGGAACCGTTTCCGTCGGGGCTGGGATGGGCCTGGGCAAGATTCTGGCCCTGTGTGCTGGGGGCGATGTCCTCCCTCCCCACGCGTGCCTGTGGGCTGGCGGGCCGCCGGGGCCGCTGTGGCCCGTGACCGCCTGGCACGGAAATCCTGGAGCCCTTCAGGAACCGTTGTGGACCAAGCCCTTGCTGCTCGCGCTGCCTGGAGCTGGACGTTTTGTGCCGTCTCGGTAGCGCTTAGCTCAAGGGAGGGACAAGCCAGAGCTGCCCTGACCATCCCGACCGCTGTGTCCGAGATCCTGGGGGGCGAGGGGTCACCAGGGCTTCGCCGCGGGCACTGGGGCCGCAGGGCCGCCTTGAGCCTCTGTTAAGACTTGGCCGACGCCGCGGTTTCACAGACGGAGGCGCAGACGAGACCCACTTAGGACGGCCCCATGAAACCTGACTGCGGAATTGAGGCTGGGAGGGAGGTTGGGGAGCAAGTGGGGGGGCCCAGTGGCTGCGGTGGAGCACGGTGGGGCTGCAGTGGGGACGGACACCTGGGAGGGGCCGGCCTGTGCCCCGAGGCGCCCTGTGGTGTAAGGCAGCATCCTCGGCCAGGGTGACGGGGTGAATAAAAAGGCTCCATCTTCTCCCTGCTCAGAAAGCCGCCGCCTGCAGCAAGGCCGGAACCCGGGGGCCACCGGTCCCTCATCCCCACACCCCTGAAGCGCTGCTTTCCGGGCTCTGCCAGGGCCTTCAGGCCCGTCTTAGATTAGCCGGCCCGAGTCCTCTCCACGGAGCCGCGGGGATGGGTCTTGGGGGACGTGGATGGCGCGGAGGGGGCTGCCCCTCCGCCAGCAGAGCACTTGGTGTCCTCTCGGGTCCTGGCGTGAACAGCGCTGACCGGTAGGTGCTTTAACCAGTCCCGGTGCGTGGGTCCCCCTGCGTGTCCCCGGCTTCGGCTGCTGCAAAGGAGCGGCTGAAGGCGGACGGCGCCTTTTTGTATTTCTCTGTCGGTGCGGCTGCGAGGCCCGGCCAGTGTGACCGAGGGCTTTTCCTCGGCGCCTTCCGTGTGCCGGCGCGGCGCGCAGGTGCTGCTCTGGCGGCTGTTTCCCGGCACTTCTGCCCCCTTGCCATGTCGTCTCAGCGGTGCGGGACCCTCGGTGCCCCCCACATCACCTTCCAGGCCTGAGCCCATTTGTCCTCTCCACCCAACAAGGGGGTCCCCAGATCAAAGTGCAGATGGCGCCTCCCCGGGTCCTGAAGCGACCAGATGCCCCTCGCGCCCCTGTGTGAGCCCCCAGTCTGGTCTGAGGCCTTTGCTCAGCCCAAGGACACGCAGCTTTTCTCCAGGGCTGCTTCAGTGTCAGGTTGTCCCTGGGCCGTGGCAGCTCACCGCGTGGGGCCGCGGGGCACACGCCGCACCTGCCGCACCTGCCTCCCGCGCCCGGCGCCCCGCGCTGCAGTGCAAACCAGTCGGCACTGAGCCGTGGGCTTATTTTCTGCTTCGTGGTCTGTTTCTTCAAGTGTCCAGGTTCCTTCAAAATCCGCTCGCGTGTGTCTGGACAGCAGGCGAGGCGGCTCTGCGCGCGCGTTAAAGGCCGTCCCACGGGGCGCGGCTCGCGTGGACGTTGCGTTTAGAGCCAGTTCCTGCGGACACTCGCAGCGCCCCGGGGGGACCTGGCGTGGTCCTCGCTGCCGGTGCCCGTGGTGGCAGGCGCGGTTTCCATGCGGCGACTACAGCACAACCGCCTGCCTGTCTCCTGGGAGGGCCGAGTGGGGCGCCTGGGCTCCGGCCGCCCCCTCCTGTGTGCTCCCTGGGGGGGGTGCCGGCCTGTTCTTCAGACCCGCGGCCTCTGCTGTGGTGGGGCGCAAGCACTCGGGTCGGTCTGCGGTTCTTCCTGCCCGCTCCCCTGCCCTGTCGGGAGCTGACGGGACGCACGCTCGGGGCCTCGCGTGGGGATGGGCGGGCTGCCTGAGGGTGTGCCGCTCGCCTGTCCTCCACCTGCGCCTCGCCTGTTCTCCTCTTGGCATGAGTGGAGCGCGTCAGCCTCTGGCCCACTTGCTCTGGGCCCTGGCCCTGCGCGGCGTGGGGCCGCCGGGTTCTTCCCTCACTGCCCTGAGTGACGCGGCCTTCGCTCGTCAGCCTGGGACCCTGGATGGACCTAAATGCCTATGGCGCTCGTGGTGGCGGCTGGAGGAGGGCGGCCGGCCGGGGGAAGCTGCCTTCCGGCTCCTCTTTCCGCGCGCCCGAGGGCGTGGGTCTAAAAGCTGGGTATTTCCTAGGGGTCTCCTGGTTTCATAAATGCACTTGGCAGAATTGATGACAGGTGGGGAATTTCTTGAACATCGCCAGTCGTCTGGGAACTTGGGATTAAGTAGACATTTGAAAGTTCAGAGGGAGTTTCTCACACATGAGAGTTCATTCAACAAAAAGTCAGTAAGCACGTCCGGCTGGGAGGCCGCGCGGACGCTGGCGAGTGTGTATCTCGCGTCTGGACAGTGTTCCGTGCTCTCCGCGGGGGAGGAACGGTACCGAGGTCCTCCCTGGGGGTCATTGGCCCCTGCCTGGGATCGCTCGCTGCGCTTCCCCGGCAAGTCCGCCGCGGTCTCGTCAAGAGGCAGAGGAGATGCATTTCTTTTCAGGCGGATTTCAGGTGAAACTGATTTACTTTGGGAAACATTCAGTTTCTAGACCTGAACCCTTGAGAGCTGGGGAAAATGGACCGGACAGAAGCTTCCTTCACCGCCAGGTCCCCCTGCTGGTGCCAGTCAGGTCCCGTGGAGCGGGCTGGAGTGGGGAGTGGGTCGCGCTAAAGGGGCTTCAGAGGGGTGACGTGGAGCTGGCCCTCTAGTTAGGGGTGATGGCGGCCTTTGCTGCGCTTTTATTTTTGATCTTTTTCTGGAAGCAACACGTGCTCACCCCCGCCATCCTGGCCCTGCGGAGGCCGCTGGATGGGACCTGGGCGTGGCTTCTGTTGCGTGTTTTTCGAGGGCTAGTTGATCAAAATTCATGATTTTTTTCCTGTGTGAAACTTGGGCTCTCAATACCTTTTGTGCACCTTGCCCCCACTTAACGTCTTTGAGCGCTTCCTGGCTTCGCCACTGGCCTTTTTACCAGCTGCGCACAGGGCCGCTCTGTGTTCTGTTTCCAGAACGTCCTTTGCTTTTTGCAGCGCTGGGGGCTCGCCCCTGTCGCTGGCTGAGAACCCTGTGTTTGTTACGTGACGTCGCGTGGTCTGTTGATCGCCTCAGTTCTTCTCACCCCTAAAGGACATCTGAAGTGCCCGCTGCCTCTTGGGGTCCAGGTTGCTAGGGTCTGACATAAAGCCAGAAAGACACCCTCACTGCTGCTTTGTCGTGGCTTCCTGGAGGGCAGCAGTCCTCGTGGGGATGCCGACGATGAGCAGTGATCAGCGCGCGAGGGTGTCCTTTGGCACATGGACGCCCGCACCAGACCCAGTCCTCTAGCAGCCTTGGAGAGACGTGGCCAGTGTGTGCTTTACTTGGAGAGCGTGTGGCCTCCGGGCAGGGTCTTCACTCGCGGCCGCTGGCGTACAGTGACCTTGGGGATGGGCCGCCTGCCCTCCAGGGGAGGAGAGGCTTCGGGAGCTTGGGTCTTCGCGGTCCTTGCCCTCGGAGCAGACTTCCTCTCCAGTGAAAGGCTCATCTTGCTCCTCAGTGTCACCAGCGAGCCCTTGCGGAAATGTCCCCCGGGTAGGCAGGGCACTGAGCCCCCCAGTCTCAGCTGCTGTTCGGAGCTGTCACATACTTAGCCTTGCAGTTAAGACTGCAGTTTTGCAGAGAGCTGTGGACATGGCAGTGATGCCCCCCCGCCCACGGTCACCAACTGGAGGCCAGGGGCTGGTGTCCAGGGTTGCTGGATAAGTGTGCTGGGTCCTTGCTTGGTGGACGCAGCTTGTCACGCACAGTGCATCCCAAGCTGGCCAGAAAGCTCCAGCTTTTCTGCGATGGCTCCTTTGGAATTTGTGAATTGAATGTGACGAGACAGGAGTGAGGCGCTGCCGGCCCGCGTGTCCCCAGGCCGTGGTTTCAGATGTGGGTTGGGATGGAGGCATCTGCAGGGGTTGAGTCTACTGTGCAGCGTCCAGTCCTCTGGCCCATGTGGGGGAGTTGGGGGGTTGGGGGGGTGGGTGGCGCACACTGGGAGTGATGATGGACAGACAGGGCTGCCCACAGGCCTGTCAGGCCTGGTCTTGGCCCCAGAAGAACTTCCCAGTGTTCTGCCTTTCTGGGCTGTGCCGATGGTGGGTCTGGGGTCTTAATCCTCGTGTCTGTTGCGGTATCCTCGGGATTCTTTTTTAAATGTGGAGGCATTTTTTATTTAGAATTTTTGAGGCATAATTTATAAGTGATAAGACTTCAGGGTTTGAGTTTTCCAGTAGCCTGTATCCATAGGACCAGCTCCCTCCGGGAATGACTGGCTGCTTTCTAGCACCTTCTGCCACTTTCTCTTTGGCCTTTTCTTAGAGTCAACATTGTCTGCTGTCTTAACTTCTGGAGAACCCGACAGACAGGCAGTCTGACAAACAGTGATCCACTTTTCTTGTAGAACATTCTATGGCAATCTCCTTTTGTGCGAGATGTTGAATGAATAACGGCTTTTTTTTTAATAATTTTTAAAATATTTATACAAGAGCTGGGTACAGGCCAGAGGCACGGGAGGGTGAGAGGATTCACCAGAGACAGAGTGGGGAGCAGAACAGGCAGATTAAACGAAATACATTGCTGAGGGGAGCAGTGGGCAAGACAGGAAGAGGTCTGCCGTGCCGTGGGGGTTTCTCCCTGGCAAGTCGGGGATCGAACTCGCTCTGCAGAGGCTATGGACAGCTTCACAGCATGGCGCTCAACCTGCTGCACCACCGGGGAGGCCCCTGAATGCAACTTTTTATCCTTGTTGTATGTGGGACCTGTAACTTTTGGGAGTTGAAGATCATGTGAGAAGCTGAGTCTGCTCTTGAGAAGCCGAATGTTGGATGAAGCTTGCTTGCTTATCTCCACAGGTTTTAGCTGACTGTGGCTGGTGGACAGTACTGGAAGCCTTGGGCTACTTAGGAACCCGTCCCCCTCCCTCCTCTTGGAGCAGTGAAGCCATGTAGTTCTTTTCACTAGCACTGTCCATCATTTGTCACGAGATTTTCTTTTTTTTTTTCAGTTTTATTGCTATAAAATTAACAGGAGAATTATGTTTAAGTGCCGCTGCCATTTCTGTGGTGCTCATTTCTCACGTTGACTGCTGCCCGAGAGCCCTCGCTTCCTCTTGCTGGGGCCTGTGGCGAGTGGGGCACGTGTCCCCGTGGGGACTTCGGTCTCCACGTCGCTGGGGCCTGTCTGAGGGTGGCAGGTTCGGCTGCAGATGAAGAGCCATGTGTTCGGGAAGGCAGACCTGCTGCCCGAGGACCTGGTTTGCGCCGATTCGGCCGCGTGGGGTGAGGTGTGGGCGTGCTCCTGTCGCTGGGCTGTGGGGTCCTGGCCCGGTGCGGCCGGACCGGTACCAGCTTTCAGAGCTCCTTCCTGGCATGATCGCATGAGCCCGGCTGCCGCCCTGAGGTGTGAGCGCGGGTGCGCGGGTCCTGCAGCCGGAGCAGGAGGCGCCCCCCCCCCCGCCTGGACCTGCAGGTGGCACATTTGTATTTTGGAAAACACCAGAATCAAGACTTCCAGCCCCCCTGTCAGCACAGCTTCCCGGGGCAGAGGCGCTCCTTTTCCCAGGGCCTCGCACCTGTGTGCGGCCTGTCTGCCGAGGCGGGGCAGAGGTCGGTGGTGGTGTGGCGAGCGCGCACGTGGGCCGCAGCCTCGGGTCCTGCTCCCGTGGGTCTCCTCCCCGCTGCCCTCCCTGCGCTGCCCTCCCTGCTTTCTCGCTCCAGGGGGGCTGGGGAGAGGCTGGGCCATAAATTTGTTTCTTGGCTTTGGTGCAACAGGTCGCAGAGGGACGGACACGCGTGAAGATGCGGACCAGCCCGGGGTGGGCAGGTCTCTGCACCCGCTTGTTAGGAATTGACCTCACGAAGCCTGTTTTGCCTGCCCCTTCAAGCGGAAGTCGCGTTTCCCGTGTTGGCCTTTCTGCTGCAGGTAGCCTGCGCGCCCCCCTGTGTTGCACCACGTGTGAATTATTTCCTCAAGTGAACAGTTGGGTCATCTCTGTCGAACTTGCTCCTCAGGAAGCCCTTCTGCTAGTGACCGGCCACTGTGCTCTGCCCTGGGAGCGCAGCCCTGGGCCGGGGCTGAGCTGGCTCGTTGCGTAAACACGTCTCGAGTAGGTGCCTCCTTTCTCTTACGTTTATTCTTGGTCCCGTGATGAAGTAAGCAAAACGCATATTTAGAATTTCTAAGCGCTGTGGTTTCTGTTTTGAAGATGCCAGAAACGTCTCTGAAGGTGTGCGGGTGTCGTCGGGCCATGTGCTCCTGCCTTGGCACAGGCCCCCTGGGGTGGGCCATGGAGGCGCCGATGTCGGCTGGAGAAACCTTGGATTTGGGGGGATTTGTTGCCGTGGTTTTTCTACCTGATCTCATCTGATTTCAGTAAACCTGCATGTTTAAAGTCTCACCTGGCCTCTGGGTGTCTCTGTTCTTGTAACGCGTGTCTGTTAAAAACCGGGCATTTGCAGGTGCCCTACTTGGCTTGGAGCTGGTGTTGGCCGAATGGCTTGGCCGCGGCCTCTTCTCTCCCCTCGTGCAAGGCCTTCCAGGCTGACCGTCACTGCCCTTGTTCCCACAGGTTGCATTGACCAAAGCAATGGTGATGGAGAAGCCGAGTCCCCTGCTGGTCGGGCGGGAGTTCGTGCGGCAGTACTACACGCTGCTCAACCAGGCCCCTGACATGCTGCACAGGTGAGCAGCCGCGTCCCGAGCCAGCACCCTGGAGGCCAGAGTGCGTTCCGCGCCAGGGCCACTAGGTGATGGGTGACAAGGCCACGAGCAGGTTAAAACAATCTACAGATGGAAGTGAAAATGGGGCTCAGGACCTGACTCGGACGCACGTCCTCAGCTCCACAGGCCTGGGAGCTCCACTGGGCCTGCCCGCGCAGACTGTGGTGTGTATCCCGTCATGAGAGGGGAGCGCCGGGTCTGTGGCGTTGTGCTTCAAAGCACGGGGGCATCTCCGGGTTGTGGGGGGCGGCGCCTGCTTGTCAGTCAGCAACAGGTGCGGGAGGCGGCCTTCTCTGAGCACGCAGGCCTGCTGAGCGTCTTCGCCCATGGCCCTTAGCTTTCAGGGTGGGTCTGCAGGCATCGCCGCTGCAGGGCCTGTGTCAAGGAACTGCCGCCCCCAGCCCTTCCTGCTCTGCCTGGGGCTGGCTGCCGTCCCTCTCTGGAGGCCGGGAGTCAGCCTGGGGCTGCCTGGGTGGGTACCGGAGCCCTCCTGCACGTCCCACTGCATGTCTGCTGGACTGGCCCTTTTTTTTTTTTAAGATTTGTTTATGCACACAAGAGCTGGGGTGCAGGCCAGAGGTGTGGGGGGTGAGAGGATTCACCAGAGACAGAGCGGGGAACAGAACAGGCAGAGGTACTGAAATCTACTGCTGAGGGGAGCAGCGGAGAGACAGGAGGGGTCTGCTGAGCCATGTGGGTAGCTCCCTGCCCGGGGATCGAACTCATGCTGCAGAGGCTGCGGAGAGCTTCACAGTGTGGTGCTTAATCCCCGCGCCACCAGGGAGGCTCCTGGACTGGCTTTTGCTCTGTACTTGACCAGCTTGAGAACTGGATACCTCGGTGTCCAAATTGATAAGTTCATTTTGAGTTCTTGCTCTGAAAATGGAAATTTTTCCTTGTGTTTAAGACTTCGGAGTTTCAGAACACTTAAATATATTCCCTTTTTGAGTTTTAGTTACTTTTAAAAAGTGTGGAAGGAGAGTTAACTACACTTTTAGGGGACAAAACTAGAACAAGTGTCCAGATTTTTTCTTCATATGAAAGCTTTGCTGTGTGATCTTAGAAGTCAGGTGACTTTGGGATTTAAAAAGGGAGGATGGGGGGTTGAAAGACGCGCCCCACACACATCAGCAGGCCCTCGTGGGTGCTGTTCATTGATCTTGAGACTCCTGTTCACGGAGGGACACGGGGCTGGCTGGGGCCACCTCGCAGTGACCATGGAAGGTACTGCCAGATGGGCCTTCTCGAGGACCCAGCCTGTCCCCTGGGGTGGCCGCTCGGGGCTGGCTGCAGGAAGTGGCATGACGTGCGGGGCTCATTTGTGAGAGCTTGTATCCCTGGGGCCCAGAGCTTGTGTCCCTGAGAGTGGCTGCGCTGAGAGGCGGCGTCCCGGCTGGCGCGGGGTGCCTCAGGGCTCGAGTCTGAAGTTCTCGATGCATCGGCAAGAATTGTTACAGTCTTCCTAAAACCCCCTGGGGGTGTTGCAGCGGCGCCCGGCCCACCTGGAGGCTTCCGCCCGGGAGAGTGGGGTTGCTTGGCTCCGGCTGCCCGCGCTCTTCAGTGGAAGCGGAAACTTGGACTCAGAGTGGTTCCTGCGTGAACGCTGGGGTCTTCTCTCCCCACCCCGCAAGTGGAGCTGGCATGTCGGCAGCAGAAGTCGGCTGGCACGTGGGGTGGTGCTGGCATAGAGACGAGAAGACCCCCTTTCTGACCTCGGGTGTGACGGGCCGGGTGTCTCGTCTGCAGGTTCTATGGAAAGAACTCTTCGTACGTCCACGGGGGCCTGGATGCCAACGGCAAGCCGGCGGACGCCGTCTACGGGCAGAAGGTGAGTGCGTGGGCTCCGGCTCAGATGTCCAGGCCCAGGCGCGCAGGGACTGTGGGGCTGCCCAGACTCTTGGCTCAAGAGGGTGTCCCCTGCGCTGCCCTGCAGGGTGGTCCCTGGTGTCCGTCTGTGGACGGGTGCGTTCCCCAGGGGCTGTCACGCTGTGCCCTGGAGCAGTGAAGCAGGCTGCCTGCTCCGTAATGGCAAGTAGGTATTCGCTGGAAAGCTTACAGTGTCTCGCACGCGTTTCGTGGCTCTGTGTGTTCAGGACGGCTGGTGTCTGTGGGGCATCGGCCTGTGCAGGCATCAGGGCAGTTACCTCTGGGGACGCAGTCCAGAGCTGGGCGGGCGGCAGCGCCACGTGCCGTGTTGGGTCTTTGGCCGAGGAAGGCACAAGTTTAAGCCTGCCCTGTGCTCCACCCCCAGGAGATCCACAGGAAAGTGATGTCGCAGAACTTCACCAACTGCCACACAAAGATCCGCCACGTGGATGCGCATGCCACCCTCAACGACGGCGTGGTGGTGCAGGTGATGGGGCTGCTCTCCAACAACAACCAGGCGCTGCGCAGGTTCATGCAGACCTTCGTCCTCGCCCCGGAGGTAGGGCTGGGGTGGGCGCCAGGCGGGTCCTTGGAGAGCTCGGGAGCATGGGCGGGTGGGCTGGTGGGCGGGTGGCCGGAGGCACTTGGACACGTCCTGGACTTGCTGCTGTGCTCCCTGCCCCAAGACCAGTGCAGAGCTGCGCGTCGCATGTGGCGCTTAACGCCTGTCAGGTCCCCTTTCACCTGCGCCAGGGCTTTTGCTCGTCTTCTGTTCCCAGGCTTTTTTTGTGTGTGTGTAGAGCTGGGCTGCAGGCCAGAGGTGTGGGGTGAGAGGACTCACCAGAGACAGAGTGGGGAGCAGAACAGGTGGACCCACTGAAACACGCTGCTGAGGGACAACAGGGAGACGGGAGAGTCTGCTGTGCTCTGTAGGCAGCTCCCTGGCCGGGAACTGAACGCGTGCTGTGGTGGTGACAGCCTGAGATTCACCCCTGGGCCACAGGAAGGCCCCAACTTTGACATTGTTGAGGCGCACCCTCAAGTTGTGTAGCGGGATGTCTCCATTTGGAGCCCGTCTGGTGGCACACCAGCCTTGGGGCTGACGAGGATGCGGGGCGGGGGGCTCCGTCCTGCTGGGCGCCTGTGCATTGTGGGGTGCTTGCAGCCTCGGTGCCTCTGCTCAAGCCCCAGTGCCCTGGCCTGGTATCTCCAGGGCTGTTGTGGGGGCCGCCGGTGTGGAAGGCTCCCCAGGGTCTGCCCAGTGAATGGACGCTCTCGTTGGCATTGCAGGGCTCTGTCGCAAACAAGTTCTACGTCCACAATGACATCTTCAGGTACCAAGACGAGGTGTTCGGCGGTTTTGTCACTGAGCCGCAGGAGGGTAAGTCGCTCGCCTCCTGACGGGAGCAGGTTTCTGAATTTCTCGTGTTCTCTGTTCTCCTGGAGACCTCCTTGTTGTCCAAGCGCATGATAGGCCTGCGTTTCCACCATTCTTAATGGAGGGTGTGTACGGCGGGAGCCCCTGAGCAGAAGTAGACTCCTGGTGGCCACTGCGCCTGCAGGGCAGGGGATGTGCCCACCACTCTTCGCCCTGGAGGAAGATGCTGTTTGGAGGCTGCTTGCCTGTCAATGTCTAACAGCACGTGGGGCACCGTTTGGGGCGTGCAAGGCCTGGACAAGACCCCGCAGGGAAGGCCGCTGTGGCCGGCACCTGGAGCTTGCTCTGACTGGGGAGCCCGGATGTCAGACCCTTCCAGAGGAGGCTGCTGTAGCCCAGGGCCGGGTCTGGGACGGTAGAACCAACGCTCCGGGCTCAGACCCTGTGATCCTCACCCAGACGAGAAGGTCACCTTACGTCTGTTCCTCAGGTCTCTGCTGTGATTTTACCAAAGTGCTGTTTTCTTTTTTTTTGCTTTGCATTTTTCTTATTTCCATTTTGATCATGGTTATTGTTGTGAAAGTGAATGTATTCATGAATTAAACAAATTACTTCAGATTTTTTTTTAATTTAGAATCGGAGGAAGAGGTAGAAGAACCTGAAGACAGACAGCAGACACCTGAAGTAGGACCTGATGATTCTGGAACTTTCTATGATCAGGCTGTCAGGTAAGGAAAACTTTACTCCTGTGTCCAGAACTAAGCGAGAATTGAGGTAGTGAGCTGAAGAGGAGGGGCCGTTGTGTGCTCAGAGTCTCACAGCAATACTTTCCCCAAAGAAATGTTTTACTTTTGGTATTTTTGAGCTAATAGGAACATACAAATTTTTTTTTAAAGATTTATTTATTTTTTATTTATACAAGCACTGGGTACAGTCAGAAGCGCGGGAGGGTGAGAGAATTCACCAGAGCGGGGAACAGAACAGGCAGACCGACGAAATACACTGCTTGGGGGAGCAGCGGGCGGCAGGAGAGGTCTGCGCGTCATGTGGGACCCTCACCGGGCGGCCGGGGATCAAACCAGTGCTGCAGAGGCTGCGGGCAGCTTTGCAACCCAGTGCTCAACCGCTGCGCCACCAGGGGAGGCCCTACAATTTTTGTTTTTAAGATTCTTATTTTTGCATATAAGAACTGGAGTGCAGGCCAGAGATGGGGGGCCGGTGAGAGGATTCACCAGAGACGGTGGGGAGCAGAACAGGCAGATCGACTGAAACACACTGCTGAGGGGAGCAGCGGGGAGACAGGAGAGGTCTGCTGCGCCATGTGGGTCACCTCCCTAGCTGGCGGGGATCAACCTTGTGCTGCAGTGGCTGCCAATAGCTTCATGGTGCTGGCACTTAACCCCTGCGCCACCAGGGAGGCCCAGGTTTAGGTTTCTATGGTTAATTAGTAAATACTTAGGAACTTCTTGCTCCGTCAGTGGAGACAGAATTACGTTGCTCAAATTTCCCATGACAGCAATGATCTGGAGGAGCATCTGGAGGAGCCCGTTGCTGAACCCGAGCCTGATCCGGAGCCAGAAGCAGAGCAGGAATCTGCGTCTGAAATCCAGGAGGAGAAGGCAGAGCCAGCCCTGGAAGAGGCGGCCTCTGAGGATACCCGGAAGAGCCCATCACCGGCCCCTGTGGACCTGGCCCCGGCCGCCTCTGAGGACCTGCGGGTGAGCAGCTCGTCCTCTCCATTCCCCTCCCTCCCCCACAGGGCACGGGGGCACCACTTACCAGTGCACGTCGGGGCTCAGGGGCATTTCTTGATTTATTGAGCCTTATCACCCCAGATGAGAAGTAAAGATAGAGGGTGTCTTATAGAATTAAAAAAGCGACTTATTTTCTCTTTGAGGAAAGAAGACTGCTTTAGACCACTCGTTTCAGCTACCTTTTTGTCACCCTCTCAACAGCCTGTCATCCTTTTAACATTTCATCTTCTACGCTGCAAGTTGCTGCAGTGCAGTAGACACACGATCGTGTATTTTCTCCAGAAAACAGCAAGGCGGAGCAGCCTTCGCCCCGCCCCACCCTGGGGAGTCTAATGAGGGATGTGGGACAGCCGCGGCCCCTTGGAGTCTTGTGCGCCGTTTCGTGGCGCCTGTTCTCCAGAGTGCGGCTCGGCTTCTCCATGGAGCCCGCTTGGCCGGCGTGGCCGGACCCACGCCCCCCCACCCCCGCTCCTCCTAGTGCCTGGCTGTGGAGTGGTGGGTGGGCCAGGGTGGTCTCTGGCCGCTGGTGGGGAGCGGTGGGGGCGGAGCGAGGTGGAGAGGTGGCTGTGGGTGCCAGTGCGAAGGCGTTGACTGGCTCGAGGAGAGAGAGAGTGGCCAGTGATGGCTCTGGGGGCTCTTGTGAGGCCAGGTGGTTCCTGGCTCAGGTCGAGGCACTGGGGTTGGAGAGACGGGCCGAGAGGGCTGTCGTGTGGACTGGGAAAGGTCTTCAGGATGAAGTTAACCAGAGTTGGTGTTATTGAGTCATGGGTTGGGAAACCCGGAGACAGAATTTTCTTTGATGCACACATTTTTTTAAATGGATTGAAAGCAGCTTCTTAGACCCTCAGAGCTTCTCTCTTTGGCTGATGTATGAGCCCTGAGGACTTTGGCTAAATCTGCGAGTGGGGGAAAGCGGAGTCTCAGATGCTGAGGGGGCCACCAGCCTAGTCAGGACAGGGCTGCACGTGCGTCGCCAGGTCGAGGGCTGTGCTCTGCTGACGCTGCATGGCCACGCGCTGCCCTCCACAGACGTTTTCTTGGGCGTCAGTGACCAGTAAGAACCTTCCGCCCAGCGGGGCTGTGCCGGTGACTGGGATACCGCCCCACGTGGTGAAGGTGCCGGCTGCGCAGGTGAGTCTGGGTGGGAATGGGGTGGGAGCAGGTGAGTCTCTGCTGGGTGGGAGTGGGGCCGCACGTGCCCTGGCTGTGGGAGAGAATCGTCACTTTCTAGCCTAAACCTTGGTAACCCAGAATCTTTACAAACATAAAGGGAAGTTTATTTATTTTTTTTTAATACAAAGTTAAAATTAAATTTTTCAGCCACGTCCGGAGTCTAAGCCTGAGTCTCAGATCCCACCGCAGAGGCCTCAGAGAGACCAGCGAGTGCGGGAGCAGCGGATAAACGTGCCCCCGCAGAGGGGCCCGCGACCCAGTAAGAGCCGCTGGGGTAGCTCGGGCGTTGGCGATGAGGGCTCCTTTTGGGGGGCCAGGTGTTAACTGCATGCTTGAAGGAGTGTGGGGTGATGGGATTCGGGGGAGCTGTGTGGGCTCGCGATCCCGGAAGGGCATCTGGCTTCCATGGCTGATCATGTTTCCTCTCAAGTGCGTGAAGCTGGCGAGCAAGGGGATGCCGAGCCACGGAGGGTCGTGCGGCACCCCGACAGTCACCAGCTCTTCATCGGGAACCTGCCGCACGAGGTGGACAAATCGGAGCTCAAGGACTTCTTTCAGAGTAGGTCACCGGCTTCGCCCTCCCTTGTCCAATGCGTGGGCAGGCAGGGCGGGCACCACGCATGACTGTGGGTTTCCTTGCGGGTCCTCCTGTGCTCACGCACTCTGGTGGGCGGCGCCTGTGTGTCACGGGGCCTCTCCCAACAGGCTACGGCAACGTGGTGGAGCTGCGCATCAACAGCGGCGGCAAGCTCCCCAACTTCGGCTTCGTGGTGTTCGATGACTCGGAACCTGTCCAGAAGGTCCTCAGCAACAGGGTGAGCCCCCCTCCAGCAGCACGTCATGGGCTCTTGGGAGTGTGGGTCCCCATGTGGTGTGGCCTGAAGCGGGTGGGGCACGGGGCACCCACACACTTGGGACCCAGCTCCACCTCGCACAGGGGAGGCTGAGAGAGACCTGCCTGGAGATAGAGAAGAGCAGAACTCCTGAGAACCCAGGTGTGGTGGGGGATGTAACCGCCCACGTGCAGAGATGTCTGCGGTCCCTGCCTTGGTGCAGAGCCACTGCCTGGGCACCTGGGCAGCAGGAGGCCCCATGTGGGGTGGGCTCTGATGGGCCCCGCACCTCTTTGGGCTCCTCCGGGAGGTTGCCGGTGCTGGCGGTCGGTCGTGGAACACAAGTGTCAGTGACCCGAGTTAGTTGAAAACCTGACTTGCTGTTTTTGAGGGGAATCAGGTAACTTAAAATGAACCACCCTAGAGCGGCCTTTGCTTCCCCACACTGGGGAGGCGGCACAACCTGTCTGTTGCCAGGGTATGTCGAGCCAGCTCTGTCTGCAGTTCGGTGGGGGCCGTCGGTCCTCCGGCCTCCAGCGCCTGCCCCAGCCCCTGTGCCCATCAGTGCTGCACTTCTTGTCGCCATGCTGGAGGCCGGGGGTGCAGATCTCGCTTCCCGGGGGCCGGGCCATGAGGCCCTTGTGTGCAGGCGGTCGGGCCCTCCAGTGCTGGGTCCTCCCCGTGGGACGTGCTTTGCACAGGCTGCTGCCCTCAAGCTTGTGAAATGTCCCACAGACTCCAAGGCAGGGAGGCCCCAGAGGCTGAATCTGGGTGCCTGGACAGCTTTGTCTCTGTCCATACCCCCCCTGTGGCCTGGAGTCCTTACTGCGCCCGAGGCCCTGCTGGGGAGTTCACTGATCACTGAGCAGATGGCCCGCCGTGCTGGTGCTGGACTAGCTGCTGGGTTCAGCATGGTAGCTTGTGTGCAGAGAATGGCTTGAGGTGAACCCCATCCCTACTGTCCCTCAGGGCTCTGCCCCTGCCCTGTGCCTCAGCCGCCTATCATCAGAGCTGAGTGGGCACGGCCCCCTACCTTGTCACTGCTCTTTCAGACTTTAGCGCCTTTACTGTCCTCGAACGACCTGTATGCCCCGCCCCGGAGCCCTCGACGCTCCTCTGTCAGCATTGCCCAGCGCGTGGAGCACTGCCCTCCAAGGGCTTTGCAGCTTGCACGGAAAAGATCTTACGATCACGTCGCATAGGGCAAGGTTGTTTTGTATTTTTATAAATGTGTAAGTACAGGTGTTCGGTTGGAATTTGAAATATTAGATCTAGAAGCTTCGAAGAGGCCACCTGTTATCCTCTTGGTCCCTTTGGTTTTTTTTTTAACCGACTGAAAGTTTAGTTTTTGGGTATGTTTATTATATCATCCTTCATTTTTGTACAACGTATGACTTCCCGTGAGAGTCCCACCACCAGTTCACCCGCACGCGTGCCTTCCCCACAGCCCTGTGCTCCTCCCACCCTGTCCTGACCCCTCTCCCTCCCCCGCAGAATGTCTCCGGTCTGTGGTTGCCTGTTGATTTTGATGTTTACTTGATCGTAGTTGTTTTTCTTTTTCCTGATCCCTTATTTGGTTCCTCTGCATTCCTGCTATGAGTGAGACCCTCCGATATTTTTCTTTTTCTTTCTGGCTTATTTTGCTGAGCAAGATCTCTCCTAGCTCCACCCATGTTGCTGTGAATGGCATAAGTTTATCTTTTCTGATTGTGGAGTAGTATTCCATTGTGTGATATATACCACATTTTCTTTGTCCAGTCATCTGTTTTGGGTCATTTGGGTTGTTTCCATAGCCTGCCTGTGGTACATAGTGCAGGTGTCGTTTTGAAGTAATGTTTCTGTGTCCTTTGGGTAGATCCTTAGGAGTGGGATTGCCGGGTCACATGGAAGCTCCATCTTCAGTAGCTTGAGGACCCTCCACACAGCTCTCCATAGTGGTTGGCTGATCCCGCCTTCGTATTCAGTGGCCTGCCAGGCCCTGGCTGGTCTGGTGGTGGTGAGGGCACAGCTCTGTCTGCAGGGGTTGAGGGAAGGCGGTGGCGGGGCCCCAGCCGCACTGCCCGGGGCCCAGCCTGGCCAGGGTGGCCGCAGCTGCGTGGATGTACCCCTCATGGCGTGGGGCCCGGCCCGCAGAGGTCTGTGGGTAGGACTGGGGGTCTCTGAGAGCGGTGAGCCTCCCTGCGGGCCGAGCCGGACACCAGGTGCCCGAGACGGGCAGTCAGCTCTCCACGGCCCAGTGAGTGTGCCCTTGTCTTGCAGCCCATCATGTTCCGCGGGGAGGTGCGCCTGAACGTGGAGGAGAAGAAGACCCGAGCGGCGCGGGAGGGCGACCGGCGCGACAGCCGTCTGCGCGGCCCCGGCGGCCCCCGGGGTGGGCTGGGTGCCGGCCTGCGCGGGGCGCGGGGGGCCTGGTGCAGAAGCCGGGCTTCGGCGCAGCGCGTGGTCTGGCCCCCCGACCCTGAGGCCCCGCCCGCCCGCCCGCCCGGATTGCTGGCGGAGCCACAAACTGCTTCTGTTTGTATGATTCACCTGTCTTGTCCCCACTTCCTAGTCCTTCACTTCCAATTTTGTGGAACGATATTTTAGGAAAAATGGATTTTTAAAGAAGAAAAGACTGAACTTCCTTGCTTAGTTTGCATATACAGACTGGATTTTTTTTAACAGCCATTTCCCCAAAGGAATGCGTCTTGCTTATTACTGACATTTGGTATGTTTCATTCATTGGAATATTTCTTATTTTCTACGTTGTTTAAAAAGCCTGTGAGAAATACAGGATTTATAAACATTTTGAATGCGGGCAAAACCCAAATTGTTTCTTGGCGCAGAGCAATGCCATTGCAAAAATCAGTAATTTTGATTCTTGCTGGTTTGCTACAAACTCAATAATAAAAGGTGGAGTTAGTGGAGTTTTTTTTTGCTTTTAACATGTGATCACAAAACAAGGATAAAACGTGTTTTTACCAGTGAGATTTAAATTGTGAGATAGGTTTTCCATGTCTAGAGTGCTTCTCTTGAACTGTTAGATTTTTTAAGTCATTTAGTTTGTATTTGTAAAAAAACAAAAACAAAAAAATCCCCAAATCCAAATAACACAGAACCGGAGCAAAACTGTGTGCCTTCTATTTCTCCAACTCCAGCCGTGGTCACTGTCTGGAGACAAAGACCCCGCTGTGCTTTGTCGGGTTCAGAGTATGTTGGGCGTGGCACCCCCGTGTCGTGCCTTATTCTGAAGCTGAGCCTCAGCCCAGCCCGCCCGGAGGACCGGCCCTCTGCGGGCCCTTGACCCGAGTGCTGTTCGGTCCTCTCAGCACCGTGCCTGTGACGTTGGACTTGGCTGCTGCGGGCAAGCCTGCCGGCCCCTCCCCCTGAAGCGCAGCCTTCCGCGCACCGTGTGCCCTCTGTGCCCTCTGCTTCCCCGCGGCGACGGACACGCGGTCGGTGTCTTGGAAAGGGCCTGTGTTCAGTAAAGTGTTTCTCGAAGAACTTCCGTCTGGCTAGAGACTCGTCCTCGTGTCGCCCGACCCGCGCGGTGCTGTCTGGGTGCTGAGGGCTGCGCCTCGGCGCGGCCTGCTGTCTTCGCGGCGCCATGTCTAAGCCTGCGTCCCAGGGTGGCGTGGGCACTGGGCGGGCGCCCGGGAGCCGGGGCTCTGCCCTGTGGTCCGACGGGAAGTGGCTTTGGGTACATGGTTGGTCCTGGGTCCTCCGATGTTTGAAACTGGCCATCTCTCCGTCACAGAGGGAAACTTACAAGCCAAGCCGAGTGGCTGTTTTTTGGGGGTCAGTTTCAGGGGCTATTTGGTAACCACTTCATTTGGCCCAGCCCAGCGGTGTGAGAAAGGCGGCCTGTACGTCGTAGCTTATATTAAGCTTGAGGGGGGAGCGCTCTAGCTGTTCTCCCCAAGTGAGCCCTGGGCCATGCGTTGCCGGGGTGGGGGGGTCTTCCTATGTGGGGTTCAGGGCTCTGCCTCAACCCAGCAGTAGTACATTTGGGGGCTGTTGACATTGGGGGCGCCTGGCATTTGGTGGGCAGGATTGATGTGCAGCTGGAGGCATGAGCAGCCCAGGGGCCCCTACCGCCCCTGTCTGGGGGTACCAGGGGACTCGGATTTATAGCCACATCTGCAGGGAGCTAATGGTCCTGTGCCTCATTCGTAGCTGTCGTGTGGTTTCTAAAAGGCATTTTGGGGTGGCAGCAGCTTGATGCTGCCTGTGTCGGGAGTTGCCACGGGTGTCGGGTGCAGCTGGCGGTCTTGGCAGGAGCGCGGCCCTGGACGGACAGGCCGGGTCCGGCGCACGGTGGCGTGGCTGCTCTGCCTGAGGGGGTAGGCGGAGAGCTTGGGAAGGCAGGTGGGGGCCAGGGGTTAGCTGGGGGTGCAGGGCACCTGCTGGCAGCACGAGCTCGGACTGCTTTCCAGGCTTCAAAACCCATTTCCATCTGTAGCGGTTGCCCGGGGCAGTCTCCACTGGCCTGACGGCCTGGCCTGAGGCCCGGCGAACCTGCTGCCTGAGTCAGTCTTGTGAAGCCGGGGCGGGAGGCGGCGTGCGGGCCTGTGTTCTCGGCTGGCGCTTCCACCTGCCCAGCCCAGCCAGGTCGGGGACCAGGCCTCCCCGCTTCCTCTGGACCAGGACGCCTGTCTGCTGCCGGCGGTGACGCAGGAAGACCTGGCCGACCTGGCCGCCCAGGCAGCGCGCACCCGCGGGCCTCAGGGTCCGGACCGGCCCCTCCACAGCTCCTGCCCGGCGCCCAGGCGCGGGGGTGGACGGGGCGACTGTGTGCTGTGGCCGCCGCTCCTCCGCCCCTTTATCTGTAATTGCGCACCCCTCTAGAATTTAATGGTTTATTGGAAAATGGGGCACTTTATAGAAAGCAACTTGTTAGACTCGTCTGTACGGGAAGAATTTGAGTAATTTGTAGCTTATTGTTTATGCTGATTGGCCTGTTTCTTTTCAAGTAAATGGTTGCGTTTGTCAAATCTGATCTTTTTATATTGGTTTTATTTTTGTGCTACTTTCAAAGAATCCCGTAGGGCCATGCGGATGACCTTTCAGTGCAGCCATCTTGAGCGCGGAGAAGGCGGCCGCTCCAGCAGGTGTCAGTTGGGATTCCAGCCGCTGCCCGTTGGGCCAGATGGCGGCGAGGGCGCTTCCCCCGAGGTTCGTGGGGCTGGGTATGGGTGGGGCCCTCTGTGACTTAGTAGGGAGCAGTCTTTGTGGGGGAGCGCCCCGGAATCCTCGGCTCGCACGGTGCTGCTGCTGGCAGGGGGAGGCCATCTGCCTGCCCTCCTGGCTCACGAGACAGGCCCCTAGCGCTGTCCACATCGCCACCTGGGGCCGGCGCCCCGGCTCCATGCTGGGCCCAGCACTCTGTCGGGACCCTCCTGGTGCCCAGTCCCGGCCAGGGCGTGCCCGTGGGCCCCCAGGATGCTTCCCCTTCTGTCAGGAAGCTGCTGACGGCTGCCGCGTGAGGTGGCTGCGACTCCGCTGTCCTCCCTGTCGCAGCATTTGCATTCTGTGCACGCAGTGCTTCCCGCCCCACGGGCGGCCCCTGGGTCTGGGCCAGGCCCTGTTCGATACCTGGCAGTGCCCCGCATGTGCAGGGTCCTGTGTTCTGGGCCGGGCTTCTGCCGGAGGAGACTGCCCTGGGCCCCTCGCGGCTCTTAGCTGTCCAAGTCCTCCTCGAGGCCCTGTCCACGCACTCGTTTGCCCGGAGGGGGATTCGCAGGAGGGGAGCCCCTCTTTGGGCTGATCTTGCCAGACTTTGAAGAGCAAATTCATTCTCACCTGCTTCCCAACTTCCACGTGGTCCCTCCTCTTTGAGACTGTTTCAACTTCCGTTTTAAAATACATCCCTGAGCACCTCACACCCCTCCATGCCTGTATTCGGGCCGAGTCCTGCGCCCCAGCAGGGTTGTCCTGTCTTCCTCTGGCCTCTGGCCTCTGGCACTGGGCGTGCCCTCTCCCACTGCGCACCGTTCTGCGGGTGGGACCGAGGCCCTAGGCCCCCTCTCTGCAAGGGTGCTGGCCTGAGTGAGGGGTGGGTGGCGTCGGAGCCCCTGCTTCCCTGAGGACCCAGGCGCCCGCCCATCCCGTGCTGCTTCCGCTCCCCAGCGCACCTGGGCCAGCCTGGCCTCCCGCCCTGGCCCCCTGCCTGCAGTGCCCTCCTGGCGGCCCGCTCCCCGCCGGTGTCAGGCGCCGGCCAGCCGTGCTGCCCCAGACTGCGCCCCGTGGGGCAGGCTCCCAGCCGCCCTTCTACCTCCCCACTCAACAGCCTCGGAGGCCCCAGCCCCCGGGGAAGTGTTTGCAGCTGGGCGGTGGGGAGTCGGCTCAACAGTCACGGTGAAATGACCACGGGAAAAATTCCAGAAAACTTTAATTTTTCTCCGTTGGGATCAGTCAGCAGGGGGATGTGTATATGGATGGGTCAGTAAATACATTTTTATGTACATGTTTCACAAATTTTACATTCCATCTTTAGGCTGCAGAAATAGGTTTTTTACAAGACAAAAAAAATAACTGCCACAACTTCTGTCTCCATGCAGGGGGGAGGCGGGGCGAAGGGCCGCTTCAGGTCGGGGTCCAGTGAGGAAGAACACATGGGGGAAGCGGTGGCGGAACTGTGCTTGGCGGGAGCGGAAGGCCCCTGCCGCCGGCCCCGCCCTGCCCCGGGTCGGCTGCCCTGTGGACCGCTGCCCCACGGGGTGCGCTGCCTGCCGCTCCCCCGGCCCGGGAGGCCCAGCGCAGGGGCGCCTCCTGCCTTGGGGTCGCCGTCACAGCGTATTGAACCAAAGCGGGGCCTTCCGGGGCCACCCCGGCTCCTGACCCTGAGTGCTCCTCCGCTGGAACAGGCGCCAGGCACCTTTTAAGACAAAGGACAAGGCCTTCGTGCAAACACCTGATGGGCAGCCCTGGGGGCAAGTCCTTGGGGTGGACTCTCGCTGGGCTGGCCGAGGTGCTGTGGCGAGGCTGCCGGGGACACCGGGGAGCCCGCCCCGCTCCTTGGGGCAACTGCCCCCGGCGGTGAACCTGCAGTCAGAAGACTGGAAAGCGCTGTGGGCCGGGATCAGTTATGTAAATAAAGCACATTCCCCGTGGTCTTTGAGCCTTTATTTGGAATTAATTCTTTTGGGACCTTCCATGTCCATCTAACCCCATTGCGCCTGCTCGTCCTGTCCAGCGCATTGGCCAGTGGGCTCCTGCCGTGGGTTCCCTGGGCATCAGGCTTGAGGAGGAGGCCTCTGAAAATAGGCTGTCCAGAGGCAGCCTGCTCGGGTGACTGGGGTGCACACGGCGTGTGCGCCCTTTGGAGGAGCCGCCCTGGTGCCCTCACACCGCCCCCCCACCCAGGGTGCATATCAAGCTGCGCAGTGGGACCTGGGCACCCTTCAGCAGCCCCTTCCCCCAGGTGCGCCCCAAGTCTGGTCCCAGCCGCGGAGGACACAGATTGTGTCTAGTTCTTCAAACT